CCTCTGAGTCCAACTCATCCCCTCTGTAGCTCACCCTCACCATTCAACTTACAAACAGGTCGTGAACACTCCTGCATGCTCTCGAATGTCCGAGGGAATCTGACTACACTTTAAGATTTGGAAACAAATCCACTGTGAGAAGCAAATGCCAATACTGCTGCCGCTTCCACCCCAAATAGACTCATACACTTTGTTAGATGAACCAGAAGATACCTCTTCCTTCCTCCTGCAGTCAGGGGAGAAGCCTACTGATTGGAGAGAAGAGCTCGGGTGTGCCATTTGCCCTCTGTTTGTGCAGGAAAGGATTAATAATACCTTAGCATAAGACCAGGATTTTTAGTAGGAAACAAGGTAAAGTCACATGAATAGAAGGAAAGTACTTTTCTTGTTTAGATAAAAATGGGGAATCCAGATAGAAATTAATTACAGTGCCACTGTTGGTGAGAGTGTAAATTAGTCCAACCATTGTGGAATGCGGTGTGGCCATTCCTCAAAGAGCTAAAAACAGAATTCCTATTTGACCCAGCAACCCCATTATTGGGTATATAACCAGGGAAATATAAATCGCTCTGTCATAAAGACACATGTACACAATAGTTCAACTGCAGCACTCTTCACAGTAACAAAGACATGGAATCAAACTAAATGCCCATCAACTGTAGACGGCATAAAGAAAATGTGGCACATATACACCATGGAATACCACACAGCCATAAAAAAGAATAAGATCATGTCCTTTGCAGGGACATGGATGGAGCTGGGGGCCATCATCCTTAGCAAACTCACACAGGAGCAGAAAACCAAAAACCGCATGTTCTCACTTATAAGTGGGAGCTAAATGATGAGAACATATGGACACAAAAAGGGGAACCACAGACACCGGGGTCTACTTGAGGGTAGAGGCTGGGAGAAGGGAGAGGATCAGAAAAAATAACTGGGTTTAGAACCTGAGTGATAAAATAATCTGTACAACAAACCCCTGTGACATGAGTTTAGCTATATAACAAACCTGCACATGTACCTCCAAACCTAAAAGAAAAGTTTAAAAAATTCTAGTGGAAAGATTTTTTTCGTTTTAAACAATCCAGAGAAAACCCACCAGGGCACTGAATAGAACCTGCTACTATTTGACACTTCCTTTATCCATGGGACTGGAGCTCATCCACTTTCCTCTCCAGGGACTCAGTAGATGCATGTCTTGAAACCAGAGACAGCCTTTCCCTCTACAGAACAAGTCAGTAGACAGAGAAGAGAAGTAATGGACATTCACCCGAGGCTGCAAGTCATGAGAAGGGACCAAGGGAGAGGAAAACTTGATTATCTCTGTAAGGAAGAGGGAGGGATGGTAGATCCAGGGAACAGGGACTATCAGTGAAAAGGAAGGAGATGGGTTAAGGGAAGGGAGGCATAATGGGGAGAGAGAATGAAACTGTCTGAAGACCAACAGAGGACCTGCAGTCACACTCAAAAGCACACCCCAGCCAAGGGCTAGTGCAGGAGAGATCACTGCTTAAGCTTCCCAGGGGAGGAAACCCACGGAGGAGAGACAATGCCTTCTTCCCTAGTTTGTCCCTGAATCTTCACAGCAGCAGAACAATGATCTCTAGTAAACACCTGCCTAAACCGTTACTGCACTCCAGGGGCTATCTGGTTTACCAAAGGGCAGGTGAGGAGGCGTCCAGCCCAAAGGGGGATGGTTTCCTCGCCCATGGTAACTGCTGTGGTTTCCCGGGGCAGCCGTGAGTGTCCTCTGCACACATCCAACTGCAAAAACGGCCAGGTGAACCTCCTTGGTCCACAACTATGTTCCCCTCCTTAGAGGCAAACTAGTGATCCACCTATGAGCAGAAAAGGAAGGAACCTGCTGTATGGTTTGTTAGAAGAAAGACTTTAGATAAATTAACAGAGTTTAATTGGACAAAGAACAATTGGAGAATCGGGCAACGCCACCATTAGAATAGGTACAGAGCAACTGGTGCTGTCATGCATCAGAGAGGATTTGTGGACAGAAGAAAGTAAGTGACATAAAGTAAACAGAAGTGAGATACAGAAACAGACTGGTTACAGCTCCGGGTCTGCCTTATTTGGCAATGGTTTGAGCAGTTGCCTGCTGTGATTGGCTGAAATTCAGCTACTTGTTACAAGAGTTCGTTACAGTCTGTTTAGGCATCCAGTTAGGCTACAGTTCGCTATGTATGGAGAAATCTTCTAAAATATGTAAGGAGGCAGCTTTAGGCTAAACAATTTAATAGGTTTTACACAGCAACCCTTGACCTGATTTGCCTTCTAGTTAAAGGTAGTTAATGAAATCTTACTTCACCTTCAGTAGAAGAGCTGAATGGGTAAAGCTAGCACCACATAAAAATAGTGATATTAATTTCCCTACTCTCCTCTTTCTTAGAATTTCAGACATTTTGGGAACCTGTATTTATTTCGACGTATAGTATGGATTTACAAAAAGATGCATGAAGGCATGACTGTCAGCATCACCGAAAAATTAATACAACCAAAGTACGCACAGTAAGGTTTTCTTGTGGTACTTTATTCTTCGAATGCATTTAAAATATAATTCCAGGCCAGGCATGGGTGGCTCATGCCCGTAATCCCAGCACTCTAAGAGGCCGAGGTGGGCGGATCACCTGAGCTCAGGAGTGTGAGACCAGCCTGGGCAACACATGTGAAACCCAATCTCTACAAAACATATGAAAATTAGCTGGGTGTGATGACACATGCCTGTAGTTCCAGCTACTCAGGAGGCTGAGGTGTGGGGATCGCTTGAGCCTGGGAGGTCAAGGCTGCACTGAGCCATGATGTCGCCCCTGCATTCCAGCCTGGGTAAAGAACGAGACCCTGTCTCAAGAAAAAAAAGAATGTAATTCCAAAAATTCAAAACATGTTCAGGAAGACAAGGGTAGGGTATGTTTGTTGATTGTCGCTCTCGCATCCATTCCCTACCTCTCTTTTCCTAATAGGTCTGGGATTTCCCAGCCAGGTAGTTTGGGTGAAATAGGTTCTACCCATCCAGGTCCTGGAGCAGACCTTCACTGGCTTAATCCAATTAGAGTGATCTGCCCCTCCTAGTCACATTAATTGGTGCAAGGATGGGCACCTGACTACAATCTTGCCAATTAAAGCCAGTGAGATTTAATTAGGGGTTTCAGTTAAGCTGTTAGAGAAGCAATGTTTTCCTGCTGGATGTAGCCAGCAAGCTTGTAGCTCTGGTAGCTTCCAAAAACCTTTTGGGACCAGGAGAGGCAGCCCTGTCTGAGAATAGAGCCATTAGACACCAAAGTGGCAAAGCTAAGAGGCGAAGAGGAGAAACTGGGTCCTGGTTAGTGCTGAAGCCAGGGATATAGCCTCATTTTGTAAAACTTCTCTACACCAATCAATACATTTGCCTTTCTGAGCCAGTTTGGGTCAGGTTTCTCTGTCATTTGCAACCACAACACCTTATTTCTAAAAATCTACCTTATAAAAAACACACATGTCTAAAACTTCTTTTACTGATCATTTGAAATTAAAGTTTCATTTTCACAATGAAATCGAATGAAGAACCACAAAATACTGGCAACACCCACTGCAGAAAGGAAGTGGGTTATTTCCACCACTCACTGGCTTTTCTTTTCTCTTTTTTTCTCCCTTTTTGCCACTCTCTTTCTCTCAACTTCCAAAGGAAACACCTAGATAAATCCTATTTGGCTGAAGTCAAGTGCACTGCAGACTGCATTAGTTTTGCAGGAAGGTGCTGACAATCTCACAGTGTCAAGTGTATGGTGCCCTGGAGTGTTAGGAATCTAGATTTTCCTTCCTTTTGTAGGTGATTTGCACCATGACTTCTTAGATACCACTATCTGCCGTTATAAACTGTCATTTTTATCGAGTGGAGAAAACACAGCCTTAATTCTCCCTTGCAATGTGAACCCGGGGCAGGTGTCAATGCCAATTACAGCTGCCACAAGTATTACTAGTCCACGTGTTCTCTTCCTTTAGGATTTGGGGGCCCATCTTCAATCTTTTTGTATCTCTCATCACAGGCAAATATTTTAAAATGTCCCTTAAAGATGATGATGATGCTAATGTAACTGTTTTGGTACCTGATTAAATCCAATTTTGCACATATCTGGTGTGTATTACGTGGTAGAGTTATCCCTCTATCCACGCCACCCCTCCCCTGCCTGTTGTGGGGTGCTGGGTGGTTGCATTGGACCTTGCCTTAATTGTTCAACAATTAAATTTCCCTGTCTGCACAATGGACTATGTGAGGTTCTTGAGACAGAACTAGCCCCATAAAGAGTGCTCTGACTTTGCTCACCCCTCCCCACATCCTCAGCTGCAGGGCCTCTAGTACAACTCATAAACATAGTGTCATCAATTCCTTGAAATTCTTTTTTTTTTTTTTTCCTTCCCAGTAATAGGGACATATAGGACTGTGCTTGGCTGTCTTTCCCAGTTGGGGGAGTGCAGGCTATCTCCTATGTCTGATATTTTTCTCTTGGCTTCTCTCCCTTGTTGACTAGACTGCTTCAGGGATCTGGCAAATGGTTCCACAGATCCAAAGTTCCAGCAGTCTATAAGTGTATGTTGTCAGAGTGACCTCGGGCAGTGTGTGGCCAGGGGACCCCTCCATGCCAGTGGCCTCATGTGGGCCTCAATGAGCAGTACAGTCCCTAAGACCTGCGTTTGAGGGCCTTGCCCATCAACACACACACACACACACACACACACACACATGCATAAATTTATTAAAAAACATACGAGCACCTCTGTAACTTAGGATCTGGCATTCAGTGCTGCCTCAGTGGGGTGCATAACCCTCAACCTCCATTATCGTGATTGATGCCATGGAGGCTCCAGGGAATGCTGCTTCTCATTTTTAGCTCAATGCCCTAAAAACAAAAGGTTACAGCCTCTCAGTGCCATGAAGGATAGTGACACTGCTGACGTTTGTGACTATGTTATGTTAACATAACTATGTTTATGTTAACTCCAAGAAAACCTACATTTTTTTTAAAGGTCAGCTTGTCAAATCCTTCTCAGACAGCAAGACTGCAGTGACTCCTGCATTACAACGTACTGTTTCCCAAGGATGAGAATCGTCCATTTTCTTGCTTCCGTCAGTGTTCCAGTTTGTGGTTCCAGATGTACTCAAGAATTAGCAAGGTTCTGCAACAGTTATAGATGACACTTAAGGAGTGGCAGTACTTCTTATTACTCTAAAATTTCTATTTATAAAAGTTGAAAATCCTGTATGGATTTAGATATTCTTATAAGGGATGGTACAATTTACAAAATAAGTAAAAGCAACTTATGTGACAAAATTATTTTGCATTTTTCTGTAATAACTTATACTGGTCCCATGATAATGGATGACATAATGTTTAAAATTCATGAGTTATTTCTAAACCTGAGGATTGCTTTCATTTAAAAAAACAATTCTGTTATAAATGCTTCAGCAAAGTTTCTCCAAGTTGAAATTAATAAACTACACTCTAAAAACGACAGCGACTCAAGGAAGGTTGTTTAATTTGGCATTAGAACATAATCTTGATTGTAACACTACATTAAGGGATTTTGCTAAATTAGAGAAAAATAAATTTATGAAAAAAACATGAAGATGATTTATGCATTGCTTGTCTCTAGAATATTAGGGATCCAGGTATCACCAGCCCATCATCAGAACAGTGAGACTTCTGTGATAATGGTTAAATTCAGTCACTTTTGATGTTTTGCTGACATTTGGTCATATGAAAACCAAAGCTTTGCAAGAATAATTGGCAGTGTGAGAACAGAACACACTTTAGCAGCTGAATCTATAACTTTTAAATATTTGGGCATATGGCATATAGGCCTCTATTTCTCCTCCTGCCCCATTGCGCAAATGGTGGTGGCGGGCTGGAGTGGGTGGTACCCGGCTCCGAGGGGCTCTGCCTTGCAGTCCCGCAGCGCGGGGCTCAGGGGAGCGGCCCGGCAGGTGCCAGAGACCCCGCCCCCGCCGCCCACCTCCTCGGGAATTGGCTGCCCTGGTCCTAGGGGGCGGCCCCAGGGTCAGGATGAAGTCTGGGGTCGCGGGCGCGGGCTACGTGGGGTTTCAGTTACTCGTGGACAAAGCGCCGCGCCGCGCGCTTGCATTGCGGCCCGGGCGGAGTTCCCCGTCCCCTTCCCTCCCCTTCCACACTCGCACGCTCGCTCTCCCTCCGCGCCTTGCCCTCCCCTCGACTCCCGGGTCCGGACCCTTCGGGGGAGGGTGGGGACGCTCGGGTCTCCTGGCCTCGCGTGCGTGTGTCCGAGCAGCCCTGGGCGGTGGGCGAGGGCGCGGCCTGGGGACCCGGGAGGGGCCGGGGCGCGGGGGCTGCAGGAAGTGGAGGCGGCCGCCGCGCGAGGACCGGCTTGGCGGGGTGAGAGACACCCGGAAACGGATTCCGCTTCGGGGCCCGAGCGAGTCGGGTGCCTCCGAGGGCGCGAGAGGATCGGGCGGGTGCTGCTGAGTAATCCCCGCGGCGGCGGCCGGACGCCCACCTCCCACGCCGCGCCGCAGCCGGGCCGCGGCTCCTCCCTCCGCGGTCCTTCCCTCCCCTTCCCTCCCCCTTCTCCCCTCCCTCCCGGCTCCGCTTGGCTCCGGGCAGGTAGAGCCGGGCTCCGGGCGCGCGCGGGGCCGCAGCAGCTGCTCCCGACCTCGCCTGGGCCCAGCGCAGGGCCTCGCGCGCCCATGGCCGGCTCGGAGCAGCAGCGGCCGCGGCGGCGGGACGACAGAGACTCGGACGCGGCAGCGGCGGCGGCGGCGCCCCTGCAGGACGCGGAGCTGGCCCTGGCCGGCATCAACATGCTGCTCAACAACGGCTTCAGGGAGTCGGACCAGCTTTTCAAACAATACAGGTGACCCACGCGTCCCCGCTCCCCCAACCCGGCCGCGCGCACCTCGTGTCCGGCTCATGCGCCTCGGTCTGCGGCCCCCGGGAGCCCCCTCCCCCTCCTGTCAGTCCCGGATTCCGGTCCCCAGGTCGCCTCCCGGGCAAGATCAGCCGGAGGGAATGCGCCTCTGCCACATCTCCTCGTCCACCCGCTACCCGCGGCTCCGTAGTCCTTTCCCTCCCGGGACCCCCAGCGCGCCCGCAGTCTCCCCTCTCACTTTGTCCCAGCCTCGCCCTCCCGGAGATGTGCCCGGTGCCGGTCGGCTTCTCTCCGCAGGGCAGCTGGCTTTGGGACCGGATGAGATTTGAGGCAGCAGCGAGCCTGGGACCTGGGCTGGTCGTGACTCTGGCTCGCGTGCTGCCCCGGCAGCCTTTGTGACGCGGAGCCCACCAGCTGCCTGCTCCTCGCTCCTCGCATGGCTCTGCATCATTGTGCGGTTCCAGACGCTTTTATTGTTTGAAAACAGACACGCACAGTTGCTTTGCCGTGCAGGAATTTAAAAATTTCAGCCCAACTCTGCCCACTCATCTCTCTGCCTTGTCTTCTACAAACTCAGTCCTCAAAATGAGTTTCTGATGTCTTTCAAGCAGGCGTTATTTATTAAGAATTTTTCCAACGTAAAGGAAGGAAGAAAATGGAGGGATTTTTAAAAAGTATATGAGAATGGTAGGAAAACACGTGTGTTCAGTTAATTTTTTATTTGTCTTTTAAAAAATAAAGCGAAAGAACTGAAACCTGGTAGTTTTCCTGTGGGGGTGGAAGGAACCTTCATTTCGTTGGGGACCTGGAGTGTGTGTTCTCGGGTTGAGGAACCAGGTTTGTGATTTGCTGTCTGGATTGTTGACGAGCCTTAAGGATGTTGATTAGCAGCTTTCCTGAACACGTTTAAGGGCCACATGCTTCACACGTTGGAGACCCAAAGTGTAGTTTGGTTGGAACGAGAGGACCAATGTACAACTGTGACCGAGAGGCAGAGTCTGTAAGAATGAGAATGCCTGAGGTCTCAGACCTCAAAGAATGGTGGTTTCTACCCAGCAGAGCTTCCACCTTCTTAATGGCAAAGCAAATATCTCACAAGTGTGAACTTTTCACTAAAGACCTTTTACTTTTAAATCGGTGATTTTCCCCCTTTGGTCTGAAAGTAAAAACAAGTTCGCTTTACTTAGAACCTTTCATTTTTAAAGCATACAAGTCTGGGTTCAAGGTGAAGTTTCATCAAAGGCTGTTGATGGGGGATTTAAAGGATTTACTTGTCACACAATTTCTCTTTGGTAGTTTTTAAGAAGCCCTCAGGAAAAAAGGTATGAGTATTTCCTGTACTGTGCTATGATTCTTTTTTTAGACTACCAGTTTGTGTTGTATGACAGGATGGAGAGAGTTGTAGAGTCAAATTTACTCTTTTTAGTTGATGATTTAGATACTTGCGTATTTCAGTACTTATGGCTTTGAAGTCTCCTGCGATATTTATTTTAATGGTCTTTTTTTCCCCTTCCTTTTCTGCATTAGTAGGCTAAAATACTACCTTTACATTGAAAGCATGGAATTTTGCTTTATCTAGAACATTTTATGCACTGTTAATAGAAGGTGGTATATGAGTGGTTGGAAAACTCTCCCACAGCAACAGCAGAGAGATGCCCCTTCAGAGCTATTTCTCTGTGGGTGAGTGCGTTGGAGGTGCCCAGGGAATATTTACATTGTATAGCTAGGTGCTGTCTGCTTGTATTTTGAAATGGGAACTGAAGATAAAGAAGGGAAAAAAACTGTAGTACCTCTTTTCTGCCAAGCACAGTGCTAGACACATTCCCTTATATATCCTCACTATTCTCATGACAACAAAAGAGTGAGGTGTATCTTACGTGACAGTTTTATAACGAGGCTTATGAGACTTAGCTTTTACTATGGACCAGGACACAAACATTATAGTTCTATATCAAGGACTCTTTTCATTTTACCATTCTGCCTCCCTCCCTGAATTTATAATAATTCGTCATCTGCTCTGCGACCTTGTTTTCCAGCAGTGTTAAAAAGCCTTTTTTAGAGATGATGGGAGGGAAAAAGACAGAGGTAGACAAAGATGGTATCATCCTATCAGTTTTCCTTGGCTGCATCTGATTTGTTTGTGGTGTGGACAATCATTGCGTTCTTCCCACCTCCCAAAAGGTGCTTCTGATGTATGTTTTGGAAAGCACAGTTGCGTACAGGTGTGATCATGGACAAGAGTCCTACAACCTGGATTCCAGTCTTACTTTTGCCACTTTTGTGGCTGCTGATTTTGGTGTCTCAAAATTTGCTTCCTTACCTATAAAATAGGAGTAACAATAACAGTACTCACATTATTGTGTGGTGGTTAGAATTAAAAGAAATAATCCATGGACCCTGGCTAAGTGTAAGCACTCAATAAACTCTAGCTAGCTTCTGTAAGTGGTGCCGTCCCCACTAGTATTGTGCTTGCTTCTTCACAGTGTAGTTCGAGTACAAGACACAATGTCCTGTGTGCAGGTGGCTTTTCTATTTAAAGTTCATCTTATGTATTACGTATGAAGGATTTAAGATTCTGTTATGCATTGGGAAACTTCCCTTTCTGTTCCAAAGTTAAATGACCTGCTGAAGGCTCAGCAGTAACTGGCTAAGTGTTTGAGGAGCACGCTGCTGGCTCATTTTATCTACATAAGAGGGATGGGCAAATTACCCTCTCTGTCTCCTTTTTAATGATTGTTTATCACAGGGGGACACCCTTCCTCTACTAATAAACCTTCCAGTGTCTTACTTTTACACTTTAACAGTGGAAACATATTTCATATCTAGTGTAACAATATTTTTATTAAAGCAAGAAGGTCGTTTTCTCATGGCACCTTACTAGAATGGTGAAAGTTTATCAACAGCTGCCTAATGAGAAATGGTTACTTTGTAGAAACAGATTATCGTGAAGGCCACTCTGAATCCGTGGCAAGTCTGGATTATACAATTCACATATTAGGCATATAGGAATTAGAAATATATGCACAGTAGAAGCCTTCTTTTGGAATATAGGACAGCTCCCTGGTTGGGATTTGAAACTGTAGCTGCCTTTTTGTTGGAACTGTAGTAATAATGTAGCAACACACTGCCCTTTGGTGGTGCTGAGCCACCCTTATGTACTTTGAGGTGTTTTCCCAGAGGTCAGGATAGATTTGTCCTGCTGGAGGGCGCTCCTGCTTTGAACCCAAGTCCATATGTTTTTAAGTTCGTGATCCTGACCACCTGAAGTCAAGTTCCTGATCTTGGTCTTAGTGCCCAGTGCGCTAGTCTATCAGCAGTCACTGCCCCTTCACACACAGACACTCATTCCCTTCCTCCCTCGCTGTTTGCGTATGTGACATGCACTCAGACCTTCAGTTGCTCAGGCACATAAGATAGGCTGTGGGTTAGGTGCCAAAGACACGTGCTAGATGTTTCGATACTGCAGTGTAGGTGTAGGCAAAGCTGATGGTGATAGGGAGGCTGGGAGACATAACCATGGTCCCCTGGAGCCTGTAGAAGAAAAGAGAAGCAGCGTCTAACCCAGCCCGAAGGACAGTTTTGTGGAGGAAGTGATGCCTGAGCTTTATGATGGGGTAGAAGTGAATCAGTTGAATGAGGAGTTGGGAGGGGCGGGGCAAGGGGAAAAGGAGAATGTGAGAGGTGGTGAGGTTTAAACGGAAACCTAGGAGAGGAAACAACAGAAAAACCCACGTGGAGACATGAAATGACATTGGGAAAAGAGTGGTCAGAACTGCACGCTCACCAGTATTACTAGGCCATCACATAGGATGGCTTGTTCTACACTTATTTTCTTCCTACCGCTGGTCAGTCCATGTTTCCCATGGTCGGTGCTGTTCTCGGGGTTACTTTGCTGCTAGGTGTCTCGTCAACTCACTTTTCACCATGACCATTGTCCACAGCGTGGCTGTCACAGCCATAATTCACTCTTGGCTCCCTGGGACTTCAGGATCCTAATGTTGCCACCTTTTTTTCTCTTTATGGCTTGAAATATTACTTTTTAACAGAGGACTGGCAGAAATGAACCCCATGGAGGCCTGAGGAGCGTGAGATGTTCAGAGCTTCTGATCCAAATGAGCTTCACAGTTCTTATTTCTGCTGGCCTGATGCTGAGCCCCCCTCCTCCCCGCTTGAGGTTACCAGCCCATCTTCTGCTTTAACTCTTGGCATTCTTTTTGATCCTAAGACTTCTGCAGTATTTACCTCTGCCAGGGCTACTACCAGTTTCTGGCTGTAGATATTATTAAAGAGTCCTACTTAGTCACTGTCAATTAAAATAGGAAACATATCATTATTATGAGTGTTTATTGGTACATAGTTGCTATGAATTGTGACACTTTCTTTTCCGTTTTAAACTATAAAATGGCAAACGTATTAAAATACGAAGCAAGAAAAATTTATGGTAAGTAATGTGAGTGTGCGTAAAATGAATGTGTGGACCCTAAATTATTTAACACAGTTTTTGGCACATACGACAAAGCCGTATGAGAAAGCCATAGGATCTGTGGGACTCATTTTGTGAGCCTGTTGATTGCAGAGCCAGGGTTATACAGATGGTTCCATATAATCCAGGAGTGGGTAAACTATGGCCTGTGGGCCAATTCTAGCCTGACACCGGTTTTTGTAAATAAGTTTTGAGACACAGCCATGCTCATTTGGTTATGTGTGGGCTGTGGTTGCTTGTGCACTACACCTGCAGAAATAAGTAGCGTCAGAGACCATATGGCATGCAAAGCCTAAAATATCTACCCTCTGGCCTTTTACAGAAAGAGCTTTTTGACTTCTGAGAAAACCTCGGTGCTTCCTGGAAAAACTCAAAGGCACTTGTAAGAGATGTTGAGTCAGCAGGCCTCTGAGCCTCTTACATGCCTCAAACCATGTCAGATTCTCGGGAGGACAGGAAGGACTTGCAGGCTGCCCATGTTTTCTAGACAATTCAGCGGCTCACAGATGAGAGTGTGTCTCTGCCTTGCTCCTGGAGACAATAGGAGAGTCCACAGATGCAGACATGTAAGAAAAGGAGAAGCAATGAAAAGCAGAAATGGTTTAAGGGAACTGGCGGGAAAGACAGGAAGCTCATCTGTCGACTTTTTCCATCCTCTTCAACTCAGTGGTGTGTTGGAAAAGGCATCTTTTCCCCCCAACTGTTACACTGTCTGAAAAGGTCCTAATTAAATATTCATTAAAGATTCATTTGGCTTAATTGAGATTCCTTTTAAAATGCAACTGCCTGTAGAATAATAGGATAGTTTGGAGGAAATTATCAGGAAAAAAATACCTGTGCTGTAGTGTGTGTAAGTCTCTGTAAGTGTGTACAAGTGTACCCTTGTACAAATACACAAAGCAAAAGATGCGAGCCTTTAAAAGAATGTGTTGTCTTAAGTCACATATGTAGTTATCCGTCAGTATCCATGGGGGATTGATTCCAGGACCCCCGGTGGATACCAAAATCTGTGGATGCTCAAATCCCTGATAGAAAATGGCACAGTATTTGCGTATCACCTACACACATCCTCCCATATACCTGAAATCATCTAGTAACTTTTAATACCTAATATCATGTAAACGCTATGTAGATAGTTGTTATACTGTGTTGGTTAGGGAATAGTGACAAGGGAAAAAGTCTGCACATTTGGTACTAATGCAACGTTTTTTCCCAAGTATGTTTGATCTGCGGCCGGTTGTGGAACTCGTGAATAATGAGGG